TGCAAATTGAGAAAAAATATGCAATTTCATGCAGTTGCTGATATTTACAGTGGGTACGGAAAGTATTCAGACCCCCTTAAATTTTTCACTCTTTGTTATATTGCAGCCATTTGCTAAAATCATTTAAGTTAAATTTTTTTCCTCATTAATGTACACACAGCACCCCATATTGACAAATACTAATAGCTTGTAATATAAATCAATGAGATCTTTTTAACAGACTACTTACATAAAAAAGCATATAAACAACAGTTCCTCAAAATCCTGATATATCTTATATATGATACTTACAAACCCGATTCCAAAAAAGTTGGGACACTGTACAAATTGTGAATAAAAACAGAATGCAATGATGTGGAAGTTTCAAATTTCAATATTTTATTCAGAATACAACATAGATGACATATCAAATGTTTAAACTGAGAAAATGTATCATTTTAAGGGAAAAACATGATTTTTCTAAACATGATTTAAACATGACTGTTCATCTTGAAATATTTCTAACAATATAAAAGTTATTATGTTTACTTTATAAAAATCACACAGTGAAAATACTAGTGTCGCCACTTGACATTCAGTGCAAAATGAGTCCTGCAGCAAAACCAGCACTGCTTTCTATAGCAGTTCTGCACAGATGTGCATGTGCGCATTCATAACTGCATACCACTAAACAAGTGAGAGTATGTGTACGTGTGTAATAGAAGGAAAGTCCTAATTCCTAGTTGAATGTCCCATCTCTTTTGCACAGCCGTGGGCAGCATATCTAATTGCACCACTTCCTAGTGAGATATTACACATATGCACATGCCCTGGCTGGATATTTTAAGCCGGACCTTTTGGAGGGATGAAAGTAAATACAGTGCTGAGTCCATCAGATCCCACTGCCACACCCAAAACCCTCTCTGATTTCTGAGCGCTGCTAAAAACCCATCCAGATTAAGCCTTTCTAACAACTTATGTTAATAACAAGTATGTTAATACCACTAACAATCAATAACAAGCCGGAGATGAATTATTCTCACTGGTGTTTAACATTGTAATCTCTAGCAGGCGAAATATGAAACGCTGTATTTCACTGTTGTTTCAAATGAGACGAGCCCAATACTTTCAGCTGTGCTTTGACGCGCCTGATAAAACTGTATAACTATGGGCAAATGGCTACTGTATGATATCCTGGCCACTCTTTCTGACCACTTAAGACTTTGACTATGCAAAGCTAGGTCAGAGTTCACCAAACTTGAACTTTCATTTGCAACGGAATGCAAAATGTCTATGAATGAGTGTATCTCCAGTCTCCCATATACGCATGCAAATGTGAATTGACATCAAGGAAGCACAAATTCTAGTAGTTGCATTTTTTGATTGAAAAGCTTGTTTGACTAACATGCAAAGTGACCAATCAAAGTTTTAGTTTTAGTGGATCACTTTTATCAGCTGTTTGGAGTGTCATTCTGACGGCATCTATTCACTGCACAAGATCCATTGGTGCAAAATGCTAAATTTCCCCAAAGCTGATGAAGAAACAAACTCTTTTACATCTTGGATGACATGAGGGTGCATACATTTTCAGCAAATTGTCATTTTTGGGTGAACGATTCCTTTGATTAATGAGCTCCATGGGAATCAAACCCTCAGTCCTGGTATATCAGTAGCATTCTCTGCTGTTTGAGCTACATAATGCTGTGAAGCATCATTTAGATACCAGCCAGCAAATCAGATTTGAGGTTGCCAGATCAAGAAATTGCTAGCCATTTTTCTGTGCAGCATGCATCAGATTTTCAGTAGGTGGTCCATGAGCATGACTTTTGAGGCTGAGACTAGGCAAAACATGGAATGCATTTATATTTATGCATTTGGCAGATGCTTTTATCCATTAACGAACACATTTGATCAATATCTGAACCCATGATCTTGGCATTCCTAATGCAATGCTGTACTGTTTGAGCTACAGGTTCACAGATAACAGGACACAGATAATCCTAGTCCATTTACACAAAGTATTAGTGTGTTAAAAAATGAATCAATTAATCAGCATTTCTTCAAGTGAAATAGGCATAAGACAAAGAGACCCCTGGCTTCAGTCAATCAAAACACACACCACACCTACAGCTCAGATGTTTCCTGAATAGACTTGTGCATGTTGCACGGTGACGACTTTCAAAAAAGGGTGACGAAAGACAATACATCCTTAGGGCAATGAATGTAAGAAAGGGGAGAAATGCATCCCTGACCTTGTCCAACCTTTCCCAGGACTAAATAGAGTGAAGGAGAACATGCAAGCCTGAAATATGAGACAGGGAGTTAAAGACATTTTGTGCTTTCATTTGAGAGTTACAGCTTGTTGTCAAACAGGGCCTGGTGTTTGGTGGAAATGGGTGATAACAGACTGGGAATCGTTTAGCATGCAAGGACAACCATCTCAGTCGACAGGTAATTAGGGAGAACTCACTCCGCCGTGGAAATGAGTAGAGGAAATAGAAACGAAAGAAGCTATGTGCTTAAGGAGAAAAACCTGACAGGGACCTTCTACAACTCCTGCAAGTGCATTTCTACAGTTTTGAAAAACTTTAAAAAGCAAAAAAAACATCACAATTGTGGTTAGCACGGTCAATTCTTTCCAATTTAAAAAATTCAACTCTTCAAGGGTGTGTTCAATAATAGTAAAAAAAATAATCAATTAATTACATTAAAATAAATTCTCTCCATTTTCTAAATCTTTTTTTTTTTTATTAAAAGGCTTTCGCAATCAATAATAATGGTAAAAGTCCTAAAATAATAATAATAATAATAATAATGTATGAGTTTAATAAAAAAAAAATTCAAATCTTATTTTTAATGTATGGGTCGTCAAAACCTTACACAATAAAAAAAAATGTCATATAATAATATATTAAAAAAAATCTCTATAATAATAATAACAATAATAAGATATGGGTTCTTTAAATTATACCAGAATGAAATGTAATAAGAATAATAAACAATAAAATAAGGTTGAAAAAAATTATAGAAGTTGTAGAAAGAAATTGTTTTCTCAAGTTTTATTCTGTTTCCCACACAGCAATTGTATAGCTTCAGAAGACAGAAAAAAACAGATATTGTATCATACTTTTATGGTGTTTTGAAGCTTAAAAGCGTCATTAATTGCAACTGCATTGGAGAAAAAAAATCAACTTTTGTGCTCAATGGAACAAATAAAGTCATTCAGGTTTTAAAGAGCAGGTCATATGGTATTTTAAAGTCTCCAAATATGTGTTGGAGTCCCCTACAACAGGTTTAAATGCATCTAAGGTCAGAAAACATTGTAATTTTCTCAGAATATACATTTAATATAAGAAATGTAAATCATTTGCCAATGATTTAGAAACGGTTCGTTCCAAGCAAGTTCGGAGCAAACCCTCTACTCTACTAAAGCCTACTCTGCTCTGATTGGTCAGCTGGCCAAGCCTGCTGTGATTGGCAGAGAGAGGAGTCTTTGAGCAACAACATGATGTAAACACACTAACTAGCGGAAGTGTTTGTGGGCAGGTCAGACTCTGTTCGTATTTCGCGGGCAGGTGGTGATTATCCAAATGTGTTACCCAGTGACGTATATTAGTAACAGGCAAAAGATTAGAAAATATGACGACTCGTTTGGGCGATTCAGTATCGACTGTCTCTTTTGAGAGACAATATCTTTATTTATCATGCACTTTTTTGATTAACAACTTTGCAGATTGTTTTCATTTAAGGATAGATACGTTATAAACTGCAAAAGAGCTATTTTTCAAAAACCCATATGACCTGCTCTTTAAACTATTCCTCTCATCAGTGTCCTTCCAAGCAGCTCCTGTAGGAGGCGACACTATAACCTGCATAGTGGCGAGAGCTTTGAGCTCACGTCTGTTGTGGAGACAGAAATACTTCTCCCTCTGATCCTGCCTGCCAGGACCGCTCAAAACGCTTCAGGTTTCAGGTGGCAACCATTGCTTCTAAAATGAAAGGGTCTCACCTTACAGTTCGGTGCCTCTGTTGAGCCATCTGCGGCACTAGTACCCACACAAACAAACAGGAATACACACTCACACAGACGCATACTTGGGGCCCCTTCACACACACACTCATGCTCAGAACCTATAAACAGATGCTTATGACCTCCCTCTTGTCCTGCGACATCAATGTCTCCCCTCAGATGTGAACCGGCATACATTTATGGAAACACTGGATTTTCTAGGCACCATGACTCGATGTAAAGAGTGATTGTGAAAAAGAAAAAGAAGGACAGCAGTTCCTCAAAGTTTCTCAATGCTCAATGCCCAAACTCAAGTTACCACCAACCCCATGTTTAACAACCACATTTTGTGACAGAGGAGCCCAAAAAAAACTATCCGCAACCACCAATTCATCAATATACAACAGCTGCACGTTTTCTTCTTCCCTCTGTATTTATAATCACAATTGGAAATGCACAGAGCTGTGTAAAGTGAACTATAATCATAGCGATTTGTAATTGCCTTAAGAAACCCTGCATGCAACAAAACAATATTCAAATTTTTAGGGCTGGTTGACGTCCCGACTCCAGTCAGCCAATATTATCACTAAATAAACTCTAAAAGCATGAAAGGCTGATTATATGACTTCTAAACAGACATTAAACATCTAAGGTATCTTTAAAAGAATGATATGAGAGACATGAAACTACAACAGCTATGTTGGAAATCAACTGACTTTACAGTTAAGCATCTTTATCCAAAAATATTTATTAGGAAAATGCTTAAATTGAGCAATCAGAATCTAATATTCCTTAATTAGATACAAATCTGATCGACAAACCTCAGAAACCTGCACTTTCAGTTCTCTAATCTCTCCATCTACAACTGATTTACCCTCCTCTCATCCACATCACAGCTTTGCAATCAGTGTTCAAGAACAAGACATAGATGAATTTATCACAGTTTCTATCAGGTTTCATCCCACGTTTTGGAACTGAACAGTCTGTTATGAGAGCAGATTCATGGACGTACCTGGAGGACAGTTGCAGTCTTGTGTCACGTCTCTCGCCACACGCAACTTTGGCATGGCGTCATTCACCCTCTGAAATGTAATAAACAACATGGAGAAAATTAATGATTCAAATTTTGGGTAGAGGTTAAAGGTCACATTTTAAGAATCAGTCATTAATAAACCCATCCTGATTAAGCAGTAATCTGAATATTGAAGAGACACCAGAAGTGTCAGTGGTGGTCATGGTTCTACATGTTTGTAGAGGAAAAAAGGTGTGAATTTGCCATTACTGCTTAGTTAAAAAGGTTTATAAAAACACTGGCAAACAACATAGTATGATTACACTAATAGTATTGTATTACAAACGTTTTGGAACTGAACAGTCTGTTATGAGAGCAGATTCATGGACGTACCTGGAGGACAGTTGCAGTCTTGTGTCACGTCTCTCGCCACACGCAACTTTGGCATGGCGTCATTCACCCTCTGAAATGTGATAAACAACATGGAGAAAATTAACGATTCAAATTTTGGGTAGAGGTCAAAGGTCACATTTTAAGAATCAGTCATTAATAAACCCATCCTGATTAAGCAGTAATCTGAATATTGACGAGACACCAGAAGTGTCAGTGGTGGTCATGGTTCTACATGTTTGTAGAGGAAAAAAGGTGTGAATTTGCCATTACTGCTTAGTTAAAAAGGTTTATAAAAACACTGGCAAACAACATAGTATGATTACACTAATAGTATTGTATTACATAGTACCCTACTGATTATTCCGCTGTATTCTTTTATTAAGATGTTACACGTTTGTAATTTATGTTGATTTTACACAATTTACTATATTACAATATAAATGTGTTTTATATATACTGTATATATATTGCAATAAATACTGTAATTCTTGACATATGAAGGGGAAAGAATATATAGCACATTCACTTTAGTTTATTTTAATTAATACACCACAATGAGAAGAATTATCTTTAGTAAAAGAATTGACCAATAAAATCAAAATAAATTAAGCATGTTTATTCATTTAAAAACCACTCATCATCACATAAACGCACCTGTTGCTGCACATGCAGAATTATAAGCTATTTAAATCTATAATCCTTTATGATAAGATAGATAGATAGATATGTTTTCAGCTTTCACGCTATTTTGGTTAAAAAAAAATGTGTGAATGTGCCCTTATTACTTCGTTAAACAGCTTTCAAACTCACTGGCAACAAAAAGAGCAGGCTATGCGTTGATTAATGGGCTTAATCAGAGCCTAAATTAAATGTGTGTGTGTTGTGTGTGTGTGTGTGTGTGTGTGTGTGTGTGTGTGTGTGTGTGTGTGTAACGACCGGCGGAGAGCGTCCAAAAGCAGCTGTGAACAATCTATGAGATTTTCTGTTTCAGGTTGTTTTCTCCACACGCAGAATCAGTGCGAGAATTAGTCTGTACAATATTTAGTGGAGTGACATTTTAAAATTAATTTCTTTTAGATTTTACGGATGCATTCTGTTCATCTTGCGCCCGTAGTACAGCTGTCCAAACATATACACGTATAATCGACAAATAATGCCAGTATTAATGCATGTCTATGCTTCATCCGATGACGATAACGAAAAATGATTAAAGCAAAGTATTGTTGCCATGTTTGCCTTGACTAAACTTTTGTGCTTAGTGAAATGTTTGAAAGTCAAAGGAGGCTACACACACACACATATATATATATATATATATATAATACATGTAAAATATAAACCAAACTATCCCTAAACCACATTTAGACTGTCCCCCGTCGACAATACTTCATAAACCCATATTCCTATAAGCAGAAATACATTTTGCATGTGAAAATTAAGTTGTGATCTACCGCCCCCTATTGCCCACTTGAGAACATTACACATCCATGAGACAAACAATACTGATCATGAACCGATTTTATTTAAAAATCAAGGAAAAACTGGAAAGACATCAAAAACAAATTATAATTATCACTACGTTTATATTGATAATGCTAACAAATCTGTGACAATTATCGTACATATTTAATACCCTAAAACCTTGCCCCTTCACAGTTACACATTATTCTGTCATGTGATGCAGATAACACAAGCACAAATCAATGAAGAGCTCAAGAGCAATAGGTCACATACCCTAAACTGAAAAACAAGCACAATAAATATAAACAAGAAGAGAGCAGTGTATGATCTATACAGAGGACTGATACAGTCAACTGAAACGGCCTCTCTCAGAGAGGAACAACAGCAAAAATCAAGAGAATCCATCACTTATTTCTTGGTCTTCCTCATCGAGACGAAAAAAGGGTGTGTGATGGCTTCATCCAGGGTGAGCCGCTTCGTGACGTCATATTCCAGCATCCTCTCTATGAGATCAAACAGCTGTACATGGTCAGAACTACTGGAGGCCATGTATTGCTGCAAGAAAATTAAAAAGTAATATTTCATAAGTTGTGTGTTTCTAGATGTCTTAAAGGGATAGTTCACCCAAAAATGAAAATTCTGTCATTAACTACTCACCCTCTTGTCATTTCAAACCCGTGAGACCTTCGTTCATCTTCGGAACACAAATTAAGATATTTTGATGGAATCTGAGAGCTGTCTGAACCTGCATAAACAGCAATACAACTGAAATGTTGTATAAAAAAAAAAATAAATAAATAAAAAAAAAACTCTTTAATTATAACTCCAGTACACTTCTGTATAGGGCTGGGCGATATGAGCAAAAATGCTGATTTGCGGTATACGGTAGCCTATATATCTCGGTATTTTGTATTTGGATTAAACAAATAAAGTGAATGTAAGCCTGTAGGCATATATTATGGGCAAAAAAGGGTTAAAATCACATTACATTGTAACATTGCAATCTAAAAACAAAAATAATCCTTTTAAAGCAGAAGATAAAGTTACTAAACTAAAAATGAAAATAATAAAAAGCACAGACTAATTGAGTATAAAGGCTATTTTGATTACCCCATTACACTTTACAGTTAGTGCTATCATACAAATACACTTACTTGTAAGTTTAAGATTCTACATGTCACATTTTTTGTCCAACTACAAATATTTCAGCAAAATGTATATTTTAGTCAGAGTTATTGCGCTCCTATTTCATTGAGCTCTGTCTGTTTGGCGCACTCGTTCTAAATTAAGTCTGTGGAGTTTAGCGGAGAATCGCAAAGCAAAAGCTCATGCACTTCTGACAGCAAAATGGAAATATTTCCATGGTTCTTTTAACATTTACAGATGGAAAATATACCTGTGAAAAGTTATGCATTAAGGAAAACAGCACATCTCAAACACATTAAACAGCGTGTCTGTCAGCCTCACACGCAGCCTTTCTGTCAGAGCATCTGACGGGGCGAGCGCGAGCCGCTTTGAACTGAAACTATAGGCTACTAGAAGAGAAATAAAACACAGAAATTATTTAAATGCGAAACCATAAAAAAAATACCACTCTGATTGGTTGAACTCTTCATCTTTTTCTGTTGCTTTTTTTGAATACTGCGCGTGGACAGAGGCGTCACTAGATTTTTGCGTAGTTTAGAGTGACAAATCGTACCAGCGTACTTTAAGGTCAAAATGCATAGCCACTACGCAAAATGCATTGTTGAATAAAGTCGTTTTTTTCTTTTGCTCACAAAAAGGATTCTCGTAGCTTCGTAAAATTACGGTTGAACCCCTGATGTCACATGGATTATTTTACAGATCTCCTTGCTACGTTTCTGGACTTGGGAACATTTCAGTTGTATTGCTGTCTATGCAGGGTCAGACAGCTCTCAGATCCATCAAAAACATCTTAATTTGTGTTCCGAAGATGAACAAAGGTCTTACGGGTTTGAAACGACATGAGGGTGAGTAATTAATGACAGAGTTTTCATTTTTGGGTGAACTAACCCTTTAATGGCTTCAAGTAAAAACAAAAACCTCAACTGACCCAAAATCAACTTGAGTTGTAAAACAACTTCAAGAATGAAAAACTTACTCTCAGTGGCTTGCACTGCTTCCTAACATAACGGCCCGAGGAGCTATGAACGTCCCAGTCAAGCTTATCATGGTGAACGTATCTCTTCTTCCTGCATAATGAGAAAAAAATTAATAAAATTTTTCATTCTGTTTACATGAAGCAAGAGCAGTATGTGGAATTAAAGCTAATATAAAAAAAAAGGTTCAAACTATAAACAAATCTGCCAATTCCTGCAAAAAGATCAAACTAAGAAATAAGGAACAGCTTTTCAGAAACTACAAACAAGATTCTCCCTCCTTCCAATTGTTATGCCTTTTCAGGCATCTGTGGTTCCTGGATAAAGATTTTTCCAACTTTACTCATGAAGATACATTTCTATCTAATGAAATATTACAGAGCTTATTATATCATAGAACATAACTAGATACATTTGAATTAACTGTAGATTTTTTTTTTGTTTTTCCATTTCCATGACTTCCATGGCTAAATTAGAGTTGTAAAATTCCCTGATATTACCACGAATCCTGCAAAAAATCCTGAAATTACCTTGTTTTCTGCAGCATGTGTGTCGGTATAGGGCCCAGCACTCGCTCCATCATGGCCAGATGCTCTTTACTGTCATGCGTCTGTAATTTCAAAAACCACAAACTACTATACAAGTGCTGAATCAAGTCATCTGTATCCAAAGTGAACATAAATAACTAATCTGAACTCACGAGGATAATGACCTGAAATAGAGTCGATCCCAGATAATACTCGATAAGAATGCAACCCACACTCCACACGTCACAGGAATGACTCCAGCCTAGATCTGTTAGAAACAGACAGATATCTCTGTTATAGCTCACAATACATGCTATCATAGCAAGTGTGCTATCAATGTACCTCAGAATATAATATATATATACATATAGGGCCTAAAAATAACACTCGCCAAGCGCCAAAAATCAGCATTGGCGAGTATATGTAACCGTGTCAGTCACCAGTTGGTGGGTAAAACTTTTACGAAATAATGCAATGTAGTGGGAACAACAGCCCGTTTTTAAAGAGATTCGCTGTTTCTGACGTAAGCGAATGAAATAATCTTGAAAAAGATTATTTCA